ATTTTTTCTTTACTTTAAAACGAAAACAGATTTTTATGGTGAAAAAATCAATTAAATAAAGATGTAATTGTGAAAATGTAATGACAATCACATTCCCCTTAAATCAACATGGGAAATATTTTAACTTATGATTTAATTAAAATCTCAAATAAAATAGCGCAGTAAAGAGAATATGCAATTTAAGATAAAATTTGGAATGTACTGCTGGGTCTCGAAGGTGATACTTATCTGATTAAAAATTTAAGATTTAAAAGAAATAAATTTTATTGCGCATTTGCTAACTCTTATTTCAAGATTTATATTTACGATCAATCCTAACAAATAATTTCTCCCAATAGACTTTCCATAGTGGAAAAGAACAGTGTTTTTGAAATAAAAATGATTTTTTAAAATTCTAGAGTAAATAATGTATACGATTTACATTTCAAATATTCACTCGGTGAATAATTCCTCTTTTTTACTTAAACATTTGAAGTCAATTTCCAGCAGTTTTTAAAATTTTAAAATATATATTTTTTGAAATTTAATAAGTTTTTTACGCTATTCATAACCAACTGTTCAGTTAAACAAATAATTCCATGAAACTAAAGCGGTAATCTATTACTTAATTCGCTTCAAAAACAAACATTTTTGGATGAAAAAAAAAGAGTCGACGTGCTTCAAGCTTCCAAAATTTTGAAAACATGCCAAACATGCATGAGAGTTAACGAAAGTGATTTGAAATATAAAATGAAAAGAGGCCAATGAAAATTGAAAAAAAAGAAGGTGAGAAACAAAACCAGAATAAACCTCAGTAGCCGAGAGAGAATAAAAATAAACAAATTGTCTGTCAAGATTTGATTTTTTTTCCTTTTCAATCACGCTTGTCAAGTCGCGCAAATAGGAACTTATTTTTGAGCGCTTGAAACATGCTGACTTTCATTTTCGATCCGTTAGTTGTTTTAAAAGTGATACGAAGAAACTCAAAAATTCAAAATGCATTTGTTTGACTACATTTTGATCTCAAAGGACCACCTATTAGTTTTTTTTACCACTCATATTTCGGATATTATCCTGAAAATTAAATTTAGGGGCCAGCAAAGCATTTTAAAGATAAAAATTCAATTTTTATCGTTTATTCGTTTAGACACTTTTTCGCAGCAAATTACCACCTTTTAGATTTTTCGACAATCCTTATTTTAACCTATTTTTAAAAAAAGTTTGAAAGCAATGTGAAATTTTACCTCGTAAATGAGGAGAATCCAAAATTTCAACGAACATTCCTTAAACGATTTTTTCACCCCCAAATGACCACTTTTCAGAATTTCGCACCCGCCCGTATATAAGATCATTTGATTTATCTTTGTTTCTATGAATTCTTTTTGCTAACAGATTTACAATAATAAACGTCATAGGTCGTACTTGTTTTAACAGATTTCTCTTCTCTATTCTAATTATATACGAATATAAAGATTTTCAATAAAATGACGTATACTAGTTTTTTCTTCTTACTTATATTCATTTTATCATTGTCCCCGAAATAAAAAGCATTACTTTTTTATTCGAATCCATTATGTTTAACGCTGTTTTATTTGCTTTTTTGTGCTAATTACAATGACATTTTCACACTTTTTTTTTTGTTTCTGCACGGAAAAGAGTTCCGGTAAAATTATTGTACTCTATGGTAATGACATTTCCGGCAAAAAAAAACCACCATAATTCTGGTAATAAAACCAAACTATATGGTATTTAAACCATTATTTTGGTAATTATTCCCTTTATGTTCATATGTAAGGTTTTACCAGAAATTCTGATTTTCAAATTTATGGTTCCTATTACCATACATTTAGAATAAAGTAAAAATAAAAAAAAATGAGACGTAAATGTCACGGATTAAATGGTTTCTAATGCTATTATCCAAGGTATTATGGTAAATTTATCGAATTTGATAACATATTATAAAGTTTTTTTTCTTCTTAATTTAACCAAAATATCTAGCAATAAACAAAGGGCTTCTCAAAAAATTACTGATTCTTTGGCACTTCCAGAAACACTGTAAATCTTTTCATGTTTCCTTTCTGATAGTTTTTGCCATACTTTTATTCTTAGTGAGACGTTTTTTTTAATAAGAAACATCTATTCCATATTTTATTAAACTAATATTTCGTTTTCTATGGGCGTTATCTGTTTTTCGGTTATGTACACATGCTGACTGAATATAACTGTATAAAAGAATATCAATTCGTAGCATACTGCCATATCAATCTAAAATAGTTATTTTTTCCTTCTTTTAATTTTTGAAATATGCTTAGTCAAAAAAATATTTTTACCTATTTTGTCCAGTAAATAATGAGGATTGGAATTATCTGCTTTGTTTTGAGCACGTTTGTGATTTTTTTTTAATGTTTATAAAGAAGAATTTCTTGAACCTAATTTATTTTTAAACGCTCAATTTTCTATATCCGTATTCGTATCGTTATCTGTTTCTGTAAGTCCTTATCTCTATCTCATGCTCTCTATGTTATCACTTTCTTCATCATCATCGAATAAACATCTTCCAAACACTGTTAGAATTTCCATTCTAAAATTATAGTAAAACAACTGGAAGCTGTCTGACATGACAACTGGGTGATTATTTGCAAACATGACAATTCGGAACGAAAAATTCCTTCAAATTTAAAGTCTTCAAAATAATTTAAATTTTTTTCTGTATATTTTTTTAGTGACATTTATTAATATCTTACAGACAGCAGTGTGGTTTATTGATATTTGATCTAGAAAAAAAATTATTATAGAAATTCACCAAATTTTAATAGCCCGGAAAATGAGATATTTGCCGAGAAGTTTAAAAAAAAAAAAAAAAAAAAAAAANAAAAAAAAAAAAAAAAAAAACGTTATTTCAAGTTAATAGTAAGTAATTCAACTTAAGCCTTTGCGTTAGATGGACCATGAATTGTTTAAATTAATTCATTTATCCACTGTAGAAAAAAATGTTTTCGTTGCTGATATGTACAGAATAAAATTGTGTATAATTATCACTCATTAAACAAAAAACAAAAATAACATTGATTACATTCAAGCATATTACAATCTTACATAAACTTTGTATTAGGTTAATATTTGCCTTCTCTCTTTAGATTCAACTGTTTAAATAAAAATCTGGTAACTGTTTCAATGTTCTGGCATTCATAAGCCAGGAAAATGACAATTTGCCATTATATAGCATTTAACTTTAATTTAACATTTTGGCCTAAGATGTTTACATTCCGCAGAAAACAACACGATATCTTTAAATAACTCAGGTAAATCTATGTCGTTTATGCTATTAATGATTTCAAGAAGACAGGAAATGACCTGATAAAAACCTACTCACTTTGAAAAATTTTTGAAATAGGTCTTGAACCAGAAAGTTTGCTCTTTATTCATGCAATAAGACACGTTCAGATAGGATGGTATTCTAATCCATCTATTAACATAAGATATTGATTGTTGGCGCTATCTAGTTTGGTTATAAATCACTAAATAAAAGCAGCCAGGAAAATGACAGATTTTCTTGTGACAAACAAATTATTGTCAGAAAAAATTTTTTTCAACAAAATTTTTGTAAATAATACCCTCTGCATATATTCTAGAAATGCCTACAAAGGTTGAGATAAAAAAATTTGATATTGAAAAATTTATGGGAAGTTTTGAAGCTAGTTATTAATGGAAATATTGTTTGTGACATACCATGAAAATGACATTTTTAAATTCAGTTAAATTTTTTTAAATAAACAAAACATTAAATGCTAGTACAAGGTCATTTTAAAATACTAACAGCAATGCTATTTATTAAAATTTAAAAAAAAAGTTGTTTCAGTAGTATAGTATTAGATCTTGGAGCAAGAGACTATAAATTGTGATATTTCGTGAGAATCACCCAACTAACCGCAAAGTTTACGGTAAAGAAGATTTTTTACCTTAACGATTTCGAAACCATTTACAACTAGTATGATTATACAACTATGATTTTTTTTACCCATTTACAACTAGCATGGTTTAAAAAACGTAAGAAAGAAATTTAACAGTATATAGAGCTGAACGTTTCTTAAGGTAAAGGGTATTTGAGAATGCAGGGTACTAGAAACTCCCCATGTGTTGAAGAGAAAGGAGTAAATATTGTGCTGTCAACCCTGGGACTAGAACCCCAGCTCTGTCGATCATAAGGTAGACTTAGTTAGTGCGATAAGATTCTGGTTATTTAATTGTATTGGGTAAAATCAGCTAATAAACGTTTTTTCTCATAGTTAACAGTTTAATTATTGTATTATTTATGGTTATTTGGCTTTGTTTGAACATGGTAAAATTACAAATCTATAAACTTTTATTAATCATTTTTTTCTCGAAATTTAAAGCGTATTTAAAATGATTTTATTCTATCAATTAACATGTTAATTTTTCTTTGATTTTCTACATTTTTCCAGTTTCCAGTCTGGTGAAATGTAAAATTTTCAAGCATCAGTTAACTGTAATAAAGTTCCAATTTAAATCAGTGTAACAATGTGTAAAATTGTAACAATTAACAATGTGTTATGTTTTTTAAGGTAAATTAAACAATAAGTCCAGACTTAATACAAATATACTATTTTATTCAGTTCTGTCATAAATATAACTTCACTTTCCTCCTTGAAATTTTATATTTCAATAAATTGTTGAAATTCAGTTGTTAAGTAACGATTTCTAACAACAGGTGAACATCAATATACATTTCATGTTCATGAACTTAACTGACTTGGAATCCAACTGCATTCTACTTAAGGCAGAGGACAAAGAAATCTTATTTTGGATTGAATCCACTGGGGAAAGCGCCAGTTTCTATCCATTGCCAAAAGGGAAGAAAAAAAAATAAAATTTGAAAACAAACATCTCGAACAAACCGAAGAACAGCCGGAATATTAATAAAAAAAAAGTTTAAAAAAAGTAAAGCAAGGATGGTGATTTCGCGCGACTCTTTCGACTTTGCGCCAGAAAGGAGGCACGCAGCGAGTGCCGAGAAGTGTGACGCATGCGTACTAAGTCATTTTTGGCACTCTATGTAAAGAGTAGGAAGTAGGAAGTCTCGGAAATATCTCAGTTACTCGCAAAGGTTTGAAGTTAGACTACGTTTCTTCGTTTTTGGATCGAAAAGTTTGCGCTGAACTAACGTGTTGCTCGATTCGAAAAATGGATTTCTTTCGACGTTAATGGATTACGAATGAGTTGATTTATAACTTTTATAACTATGTAAAAACTTGTGAAAATTGAAGTACAAAATAAATCTTATGTTGTTAATAAATGATATGATACGTGCTAAATAGTGGAAAACAATTGTTTCAATTATCTTGTGCTCAGAACTTAAGAAGTGTTGGGTGGAAGACCATGATTGTCGAGAGAAAGTGAACTAATTAAATTTTTCAATCGCTGTTTTTGAAGAAAACATGCGGTTTCGCAGGAAAAGATTGTGGTACTGGATACTCCGAATTGTGACTATTTCTATAATGTTTTCAAGTGTCGTGGCATTACCAGAAGTCATTAAAATTGGTAAAAAAATTTAATATGTAATTTAACAATTATTTTGCATGATGATTGTAATAGATTTGGACAAAATGGAAGTTTAAATTATTTTATTTGAAGTTCTTTTTTTTTTAATCTCAAGGAATTCATATTGTTATTGTAGAAAAATAATTAAGTAAATAAGCACTTTCATTACTTTTCCCATCTTAGAATTCACTCTTATTTATATGATTTTATCTTTATATAATTTTTTTTAATTTTTATTCGTGTTTGCCCATTCTTTCAAATCGCGATTTACATAAATATATGTTTATGTAGCCATTTATGTTATTAAGTTATATTATGTTATATAGTAAGCCATTATAGCAAAGTTATATATAATGCTTTGCAACACGATTTATGATAGTTCACAATGAATTATTCAGATTGTTTTAAGTAGGTAATAATTTTATTTTGCTCCTTAACATTGTAAAAAATAAGTTTAATTAGATTAATATCAAATTATGAAAAAGTGAGAAAGAAAATAATTAGAAACTACATCATAAGAAAATAATTAGAAACTACATTTTAATCGTCAAATTAGAAACTACATCATAAGAAAATAATTAGAAACTACATTTTAATCGCAAAAATAAATTCTTCTGCAGGAATGTGCACGTTAATACTTTTACTCTAGTCATAAATGGTTCTGCAAAGACTTTGTTAATTACTGTCTGTAGCATTTTTGCACACTTTCTACTTAAGAGATTTTTGAGTTCCATATCCGTAAAAAATCTTAACTATATGAAAAATATTAACAAATAAGTTTGATTATGTGGGATATTCGTTGATTCATTTGAAATGAATTCCAAATGAATTTAGATGTTTAAATGTAGTATTGATCTAAGCTCATTTTCTTAAATTTTATTCCTTATTTCAAGCAACGATTTGTCCTATTTTTTATACCCCATGTTACAAGTATTTTCATATTTCAGTAAGCTTGTTTACAATGTACTTATTTGCATAATACATCAAGAAAATATCGATTTCAATGAAATAAATTCTCAAATATATTTAAGTAAGATGCAGCAAAAGTTAAAAGACACTGTTACAAATTCTGTATCAAATTACTGCAAAAAATATTCGACTAAGGGCTCCCATACTTTTTAATATGAAATCTATTTTTACCGGAACATGTTACGGAACAAAAGATGCTTAAATTTTGCAGTAGTAATTACAGTAAAAACACTGAATCACTCTAATTAAATAAATATTATTCCATAAACTAAAGTGCAATATTTTACAGTAAAAATGAGTTTTACTGTGAAATGAATTTTACGGAAGATGCGCACAAAGTGCCGGTACTTAATACCATAATTTGATCTGAAATTTTTTACAGTGCATTAGCTTAAAGAGATTTTAGCTTTAATGACTACTGGAATTCAAAATATGTATTTATTATATTTATTATCCATAATCCAGTTGTATTTAGAATATTGCATGTAGAAAATTGCATGTAGATCTCATTCGTTTTTTTTTTGTTTAATATAAAGACGAAATTAATGAATTTAATTTAAAATTAAAATCAATAACATTATTCTTAACTTTTGCATTTAAATTATTAAAACTTATTTTCAAATTTAGAGTATCTTCCACGACCATAATTACTCAATTTAATGAAACTTTTAAAATAACATTTAAAAAAATTTAGACGAATTTCTGGACGAAGTCTTGCATACATCAATTACTTTTTATGTGTTGATGTGTTTTTGTTTGCTTGCTTGAAAAAAATGGCGTTGTTTTGTAAATAGTAAAAATAGTAACGTTTATAATTTAAAAATTAGATGTTTTTTTGGAATACGTTTTACAAGGACAATATACGCGTCTTGAATCTTAATAATTTTGTCTCTCTTCTTGACTAAACACATTTACTAGGAAATTGAATATGCATTCTATATCTAAAACTTCGAATGCAATCTTCATTTACTGAAACAGATGAAAACAAAATTTTAAGAAAAAACCGTTAGATGAAATATAACAACTTTCAAGGGGGCAATTAATTCTGCTTTTTATATTAATTAACAAATATATAGTTTTAATTATCAGAATATTTGTTATAATCATTTTATGGCAGAATACAGAATAATGTGGCATGAAAGTGCGTATATACTATTTTCAAAATAAAATTCCTTTGAAAGTTTGCACATTTTTAAAAGAAATAATAATAATAATCGCAACGGTTTTTAACTTCATCGCTGAAAAAAAATCCGGGTCAAATTCCAGAGTAGCCGAAACTATAGAGAATCTATAGAATCCACTTTACCACAATAGGCAGAATTAGGTAGAATCCACAATAGGTACAAAATCAGTAGAATCCGCTATCACCGCAAAGTATTATACCATAATTTTTACAGTAATGTTCATTTAATTAGAGTTAGTCATGGATTTTGTGGTAATTATTACTGTAAAAATTATGATTTTTCATTTTTTTTTCTTTCGTAGCATGTTCCAAATAAAAATGAACTTACGAATGAATCCAGTAAAAATGGTTTGAATCCGGAATTTTTTACAGTGTTTTGTTGTGAAATAATTATATAACTTTTTGTTGTATTGCAGAGTTATTTTTTTTTAAATCTTGGATAAATATTTATCTCGAACATGTATTGGGGTCTAAAAATGTTTACATGACGGTGGAAAATTTTAAACTTTTAATCCTTAAAATTTGTGCACCTAGAATTTAAAAATTTAATCTTAAGATTTCAGCGTATTTTTCACAATTTATTAAAATTAGCTTTTTAAAAAAATGCTGTAAAGCATGTCACTGTTAGTTAAGTGTCAATTTAAAATAAAATTTCCCCCAATTACATTTTAACAAATTTCAGATCGAAATACGGTATAACGTTATGGCACTATCGGTGTATCATCCGTAAGAAGTATTTTACTGAAAATCCGTAATTTTTTATAAATGTTTAATAATTCAGAACGATAAAATGATTTTAAGGTAATTATTACTCTAAGGCTAATATTAATGTATTGGTTTTAAGGTAATTATTGCTTTTTAGTTCCATAACATATTCCTATAAAAACGGTAAACAGTACAGGTATCTGAAGCACCGATACTTTTCATCGTAACTTGATCCGGAATTTTTTTACAGTGCTTTGTGTTGAAATAAATTTTTGCTGTATTACTTACATAGTTTATTCGTTAATATTTTTGACAATTTTTTGAGAAATATTTGTTTTGGGTGCTAAAAAATGAAGACATGTCATCAGAAGATACCTATTCCTTAAATTTGTACTCTTGAATTTTGTATTTTACATGTTAAAATGTTAGAGGATTTTTGAAAATGTATTGAAATTAGCTGAAAAAATAAGTTGAAAAAATTATAATTTATGTTTCAATTGAAAATTAAATTATTTTCAAAATGTAAGAACCACACATTTGTTGTTGTAACAGTCGTATAATTTTTGTCACTTGAGCAATAATACAATAATAATTACTTTTAAGCGATTCTAACTAGATTGATAAAAGTAAATAATAAAAGCCTTATTTTGCTGTAAATTATCCTATTCCACTTGAGCCATTAAAGCGTTTCAAAGAATTCTTTCAAAACAAAAGTACATTTCTCAATGATCTATTTTTTTTAAATACTTGTGAAACATGAAATGTTTATTGGTTTTCTTTCTTTGTGTATTTTGCTAAGCTTTTAAATTTGCTCTTTCAGTTAGGCTGGTGAATTTTATCTTTTTAAGTCAAGCTGTTAAATTTATTTTTCTTTCTGTCAAGTTAATGAATTTAATTTTTTTTTATTTGAGCTCCGGAATTTGCTTTCCTTTTAGTTAATGGTTATAATACATTCAAATTTTTCTCTTAGATTAAAAACATTTAGTATTTGATTTCTTTTGCGTTTTATTCACATGCAATAAAGCTATACTAACAATGGTATACTATACAAATTATAATTATAGAATTTATTTACTAAGACACGTGTATACTTAAAACAAAAATTCGATTAAAAATATTCTTTTAATCATCGTTTTCTTTATTGATTTCGTATATTCAAATTTTAAAATATAGGAAAAGAATATATATANTATATATATATATAATAAAAAAATACATTTCTGAACATCTTTCAGTTTTGAAATTTTTATTGTTGACGAAAGAGTAACTTGTAAGTTATGTGTTTGTTTCCTTTCTTCGGTTTAACAATTTCCGAATGCAACTGCTTATTTTTTAACCAAATTTATTTATGTGAGTACTCTGTTCAAATTTATTATTTTTTTAACTTAGTATTAAACTAAAATACATTAAATTAGACTGTGGAACAAATTCTTTTGTTGTATTTACACAAATACGACAATAATTTTTGTCCCTAAAGCTACAGATTAGTTATAAAAAGGACATATTTTGTCTAATTTTTGCTGAAATGCACTAGATTCAAAACGTTATAAATAACAGACGGCAGTGTGAAGGTTGAGACGAAATTTTATGGGAGTTAGGGCACATCATTAGAATTAAAATTGCATTGGAACCCATGTCCGGAAATGCCATCGCATGCGCCTAAGAGCGCGTCCCTATTATGACATGTTCAGTTACAGATAAGATACAGTTCATGATAGGGAAGCACCCATAACAGAGTATGGGATCCTATTATCCTGTTGATTAATTCTGATAATCCTGATGATTAGTCTTAACACCTCTAGAAAATTCTCGCAACAATTACGCAACCCCTTGTTATGTATTACGTTATTAAACATTTCAAGAAAGAAAAATACTTAAAAAGGCCATTAAAAATAATTAAATATTTTAATTAATTAATTTCCAAATTAAATATTTTAATTAAATAATTTCCAAATTACATATTTTAATAACTAAATATTTAATAATTAAATATTTCAATAATTAAATATTTACACAGTTAAATATTTTAACAATCAAATATTTTAATATTTAGAATATTTAGTTTTTTAAAAAAAAATGTATCTTGGAGTGAATAGAATGTACGAAATAATCTAAGATCTGTGAAGAAAATCTCATGCAAAAA